TTTTGTAGCAACTGATGCAATTGTTATTTTATTAAATAGTGATTGGTTTAAACTGTTTTTTAACCAATCATTAATGATTTAGAGTACAATTGCATCAGTTGCTACAAAGTGATCGGAAAAATTTGTGAAAAAATACAAATATGATTGGTTAAAACGTACTATTTTTTTTTTAAAACCAATCACATTTGTATTTAGTGAAGAACAATTGCATCAGTTGCTCCAAAACGCAGGAATTTTGTCTAAGTAACGAATAAGTAACTATAGAGATCGAATAAGTAACTATAGAGATCACTTTAAATGATTTTTTTTCGAGTTTAAAACAAGTTTTTCATTTTTTGTGAATACCAGATTCCAATTTCTCCTTTTACTTTTTATTAAGAAAAAAAAGTGAAAAAGAGATACACTTAAATTTAGCGGTGAAAAAAGACTGATGCATGCGCATCATTCGCGACACCCTGGATCCGCCCCTGTCATTTATAAGGTTTTTGCATTTTTTATTTATCAAGCGAAATCTGTGTTTTAAGCGCATATAAGTTTAACGCAACTACGGATTTATAAATTCTGGGGCTTTCCAATATGGCGTCTTTTGGCTTCAAAAATTTCGAAATTTTATTAGGAGATGCGCTATCCAGTTATTATAGAGATATCTCTATAATAATATCAACCACTGATCTAGATCAGTGGTTGCATCACGTTGGTCAAAACGAAAAATATCCATTCAAATAATGACTTTTAGTTTATTAAAATCCATAAAACCTAAGATACACCAAACGACATTACTTTGATACGCAGTTGATGATTATTTGAAGAGGTAAACCCAAGATATTTGACACTTCAATTGAAGTCACAAATGAAGAAAAATGTCAAAAACAAAAATGTGAAGAAAAAACTTTATATACCACTATATAAAAATTAGAAATAAAAGACTTTATATAAATTATACATATGAGATTCATATACCATTTTAAAGAGGATAAAATTCTGCTCATAAAAAACATTTAAAAAAAAAAAAAAATTCAAAAAAAATCAAGATTTATTTCTTGGGCAACCACCTTAATATGAATCGTTTTATATATAATGATAACAACAAAGTTAGAAACTTTTGTGATTCAATTTTTGAGGCTGGAGCTTTTCCGTTAATCGCCCGACGAGAGTGACAAAATACTCAGCAACTTTACTAGACAATATCATTATAACAGACATCTTTAATAATGATATAAAAAAAGGAACCTCAAAAACAGATATCTCGGATCACTTTCCTATTTTTCTGACTATACCCACTAACCAAGCAAATGTAAAAAAACCTAACAAAATCTTAACTAAACGTATTTTTAATCAATCGAAAATTGAATTGTTTAAAAACCAACTATCGCTACTTCATTGGAAACATTTAAACTTTAATGATGACGCTAATAATCTTTCCTAATGTTACTCATACATCAAAAACTAAAAACATAAATAATCCTTGGTTTACCAAAGGTTTCAAAAAATCATCAAAAACTAAGCAAAAGTTATATAAAATACCTAAAAACAAAAACTCATACAAGCGAAAAAAATACAAAGAATATAAAATTTTGTTTGAAAAAATCCGGAAAAGTTAAAAAAAAACTACTTTTCAAATTTGAATAATGAAACAAAAAATAACGTAAAACGCACTTGGCAAATACTAAAAGAAATAATTGGGAAACAAAAAACATGCTCAAGTTTTTTGCCACACATGATTAAAATCGATAACAAAATTTTATACAATCCACAAATTATAGCTAATGAGTTTAATAAATATTTTGTTGAAATTGGTCAAACCCTATCAGTTTAAATTCCAATTACCAAAACTTATTTTTATGATTTTTTAGCACCTCTTGATAAAGGCATTTGTTCAGATGAACTATCGTCCGAATTATCTTTTGAAGAGTTTGAAAAAGCTTTTAAAACCTTAAAAAAAAATAAAGCAACTGGGCCTGATGAAATAAACGGAAATATAGTTATAGATTGCTATGAACAAATTAAAAATATTCTTTTTAAAATCTACAAAGCATCCATCCATCAAGGAATTTTCCCTGAGCGCTTAAAAATTGCTAAAATTATTCTAATTCACAAAGAAGGCGACAGATCCAATATCAATAATTACCGCCCCATCTCTATCCTATCTGTATTCTCCAAAATCCTAGAAAGAATTATGTTTAACAGACTCTGTTAAACAGAGTTAATAATTATTTTAATTACAATAACCAACTATACCATAATCAATTTGGTTTCAAAAAAGATAGTTCAACTGAGCATGCCATTATTCAATTTGTACGCAACATCTCCAAATCCTTTGAATAAGCTCAATATACATTAGGTATTTTATAGATCTATCAAAAGCATTTGATACGGTTGACCATAATATTTTAATACAAAAAATGAAATATTACGGTTTAAACAATAATACTTTAGCGTGGTTTAAAAGCTATTTAACAAATCGTAAGCAAGTAGTCTATAGTAATAATGACGTTCAAAGTGAATTCTTAAATATAACCTGTGGTGTTCCACAAGGTTCTATTCCTGGACCGCTGCTATTTCTTATATATGTCAATGATCTAAACAAAGCCTCTAACCTGATGAGTATTATTTATGCCGATGACACTAACTTATTTTAATCCCACACTGATGTTTACAAACTTTTCTCAAAAACAAATAATGAACTAACAAAAATTTTTAAATAGTTTAAATGTAATAAATTAACGTTAAATACTAACAAGACTAAATAGATTCTTTTTCATTCCTTCTCAAAAAAACGTTCTTTACCAGATATTATGCCTCAAACTTATATTGATGAAACTCTAATAAAAAGAGATTCTGTTATAAGATTCCTAAGTGTTTATCTTGATGAGAATATTACTTGGAAAAACTATATTATAAATTATAAACCATAATACTAAAAATATTGGCATTTTGTATAAAGCCCGACTTTGCTTAAGCAAAAAAAGCCTTACGCAGCTCTATTACTCAATCATACACAGCTATATAAACTACGCAAATATTGCATGGGGTAGTACCAAAAAAAGTAAACTACAACGTCTATATCGCCAACAGAAACATGCGATTCGCGTGATTTATTATGTGGATCGCTCTACACATTCAAAGCCTTTCTTTGATGAAATGAAAATACTTAATGTCTACAAACTTAATGTTTTTAATGTTTTATGTTTTACTTATATGTGGAAAAACAATTTATCCCTACCTGTTTTTAATGACCTTTTTACATTAAAACTTACTAACAAGTACTAACTAAGAAATAAAGATTTAAATTTTGTTCTACTAAATTAACAATTTTGTAGAACAAATTTTAATAAATTTTGTATTAATTATAGAGCACTTTACCTTTGGAATAGAATAGTTCTGCCTAATTTTGATCCTTTTATCCGTTTTTCTGTTTTTAAAAATGAATTAAAAAATTTTATTCTTGCTATGGATGACATTTTAAGTTACTATTAGCTTGAAGTATAAATTTGATTAATGAGATTTTTAATAATATTTATATTAATAAATTTATTTTCTTTAGTTTATAACAGATCTATAAAATTTATTATTATGGATTTTTATTACAGATTTATGAGAAATATTATTACAGATACGTGATTAATATTATGAATTTATTATTATATATTTATTATTACGTCCGTTTTTGGATTTATATTTTCAGTTTTTATAGTATGATAAAATTGTAAAGGTTCTGATGATAAGATCAGTTGATCTTCTTTCAGAACCCTTGTTTTCTTTGTTCTTGTAAAATATAGTATTTATTTTACGACAAATGTAAACAGAAAAAAAAAAAAAAAAAAAAAAAAAACACTAGACCAGCTTTTGAAAGAGTTTCGTTACAAAGAAGATGTAAATGTATTCAGCTCCTGTGAATTGGACACTGAATCATTTAGCAGCACTGATTTGTTTCCTGATGTTGATGCTGGAGAACAACTGTTTTGTGACCATGAGGCTGCTAATTACAGCTAGTTAACTACTTTTTGTTGAACTTTGTAATTTTTGTTTAATAAATTTTTACCATTATTTGTATATTGTAGAATTTAAAAGAGATTGACGGGGGTGGGCTCTCCCCCTCTTTCCTATTTTTTTATATTTAAGGCGAGTAATCAAAATACACTGTTGATTATTATGTTTCTATAAATAATTTATACATAAAATATATCAGGCATACATAAAAAAATCAGAGTTCTATTGACATTAAAAGTCCCACCGCCATGAAAGCATGGATTTCATTGATTGATTGGTTGCAACGGGTAAAATAGGTTATAGATCTAGCGGGTCAATAGATCTAGCGGGTCAATAGATCTAGCGAGTAAATTAGTCGAAGTTTTAAAAACAGCCATCAAAAAATGGGTTATAAAATTAATTAAACATATATTTTATCAAACAGAACGAGCAATGCGTTTTACCATCAGCTCGTTGAAATAATCTGATTAGACAAATTCCAGCGGGCACACCGAAAAGTTAAAAATAAAAGCTTTAAACAACGTTACTATTTAGGTTATAAATATGAATCTAAAAACTTACTTTCTGATCATCAATAGATCAACATTGGTTATAGGTCTAATGCAAAGCATGAAAATTAACCTTTAATGATAATTTTTGGTATATATTTTTTAAATTACATAAACATTCATTTGTTAAAATAGTATCCAGTTTTGGATACTATTTTAACAAAATAGTATCCAAAACCTGGATGAAGCCAGCGCGAAATAAAAAAATAATTAAAAAAAACAAAATAGTTTTTTATTTCTTTATTATAGTCCGCAAACAATTGCCTATTTGTTAGTCAAACTTTTTCCATGACCTAACTTTTGAATACCTCTACTCTATATAATTTGGCGAAGCAGGAAAAAGCCGCACCCAAATGGTAAACGTTATTTAGGATTCAAAATATAATTTTGAAAACTCAGAAATAAAACGCAGACCGGAAATGTGAGTTGAGAAAAGTTGCTATTATTTGGTATTGAAAGATCTAAATTTCGGCAGTCTGCGTTTTATTAAAAAATCAATCTCTTACTTTGGATCATCCTAAAGAACGTTAACCCACCCACATATTTGAAATGCAACCATTAAGTTAGTAATATAAAGTTATTTAAAAAAAAGAAGGGGTGTTGAATGAGTGTTATGAATGATACGAATGTAAGTTTATTTTTATTAATGTTTAGTTTGTTATTAGCTTAATATTGAAACATATATTTGTTACTAACTTATTAATATTTAGTCGAGCATATTTATAATATCTTTAAAATAATATTTTAATTAATTTTCAAATGCAAATATTATTTAACATTTGTATTTGACTCGAACAACTTTAAATTTATAATAGAAATTTTTATTTATTAATAATTTTTTTGACATTTATCCGACTTGATATCTCTCAAATTTTTATTCTGAAAATTATGGTTTATTTAGCTAGCTCCTGGAATATCGATTCTGATTTTTTAGAGTTCCATAATAGTTCAATAATAGCATTTTATTTTTAAAAGTTAAACTATGTTTATGAATTTTGGTTTTCGTTATTTAATTTTAAGCTAATCAGCTAAATGATTTAGTAAATCAGCAAACACAGATTTTTGAAACTATTACTATCTGAAGATAGCCATTCCAGAGGATTTTTTTTTTGTCAATATATTTATATATGAGTAACATAGATGTAAAAAGTGTAATAAGAATTATAAAATGAGGGTCTTTCAACTTTGGAAGTTAATTGCATTTTTTGTGTTTAAAAAACTAATGGTTTTTTGAATGAATTTTTTGAAAAAACTAATGTTTTTTTTAACTGAAGATAGCCATTCCAGAGTAGATACATGACATGAAATTTTTAAATTGATCAAACAGATTGTTATATATCGTTGAAAAGGAAAGTTCAAAAAAATCAAAATTAAACAATTCTACAAAGTTATGGCATTTTAAGTACTGATTTTTTGATATATGGATTTCTTAAAAAAACTGTGACCAAATTTTAAGTTTTTTTAACTTAAAACATCATAACTTTGTCAATTCTTATTAAGATACATACAACTTGGTATCAAAAGAAAAGTCTTACAAAGAGCAATATCTATATACAAAGTATGTATAAAGGGCGCTAGAGGGGCATCTAAAAAACACTTTAATATGTTAAAAAATGACGATTTTTGTAAAGAAAATATCAAAATTTTATTTGTATTTTTTAAAATATTTAACAGGGTACTATCAAATATAATTTTGATATTTTAGGTTAACCGGCTAGAAGTTTTTTGAGTGCACCCTTTATAGCTGTAGCTGCACCCTTCAACCTAACTTCAAGGTCATTACTTTGTATTTTCATATCTAAATGCATACATTTTAACATCAAAAGAAAGAATTTCAGGAATAGACGCGCAAAGAGGGCACAAAAGAGTACTACTTTGAAGTTCTCCACCCCTTACACCTAGGTATGGTGGGTTAAAACTCAAATATCTTTTTGTAAAAATAAATATTATTTATATGAAACACAAGTTTTACATAAAAAAAACAAACTCATAACTATATACAAAAACTTAATATACAAAAAGACTATATACAAATATAAACATAATCAAAATATACATACCACTATACATACACCTATTAATAGGTTTATATAGATTCACTAAAACGTGAATCTGCATGTACTTATTAATAAGAATATGTATAGTTGTTGAAAACGTCACCATTCCTCATTTATCTGCCATCACCTCCATTCTGGGCCCATATACAGAAAGCTCTTTTTTTTTTTTATTTGCATTCACTCCCAACAAGGCTGCAAGCAACCACTATTAAGTTGGAAGTTACAAGGAAAAAAAAAGAACAGAGTTATAGAGCAAGGAAACGGTTGACAGAAGACTTGAAAAGTTGAAGGTTGTATGAGTCAGGAAAACATGAAGATGGGAGAGAGTTCCAAAGGATTGAAGTGCGGGGAAAAAAACTAGATGAATAAAAGTTTTTAGACCATGCAGGGACAGATACAGTAAACGAATGAGACTTAGCTGAATGACGAGTAAAACGAGAATGAATTTTAATTGATGGAACTAGAGATGATAACTCCTTTGAGCAGTGACCATGATAGTATCTGTAGAAAAGAGAAAGAGATGCAACTTTACAACGATGGGAAAGAGGTTAAAGCTTAGCAGATAGTCCAGGTCCAACAACATTTACAATGCGTTTTTGGACCTTGTCAAGAAGAGAAAGTGAATTGTTAGAAGAGTCAGCCCAAATATGACAACAGTATTCCATACAGGGACGAATAAGAGATTTGTAGAGGTAGAGAATGGAATCAAAAGTAAGGAAATGGCGAGCACGATGAAGAGAAGCAACCTTAGCAAAAGCTAATTTAGCAATCGATTGTATATATGGTTTCCATGAAAGGTCAGTAGTAAGCGATAATCCAAGAAGACGTAAAGAGGAGGACTCAGTAAGAGGATTGCCATTCATTAATATAGGAATGTTGACCATATTACGGTAGTTGTTTGCAGTAAGCAATTGGGTTTTTTTAGAGTTGAAATTCACAAGCCACTGTGAACCCCAATCTATTACTGAAGTGAGATCAGATTCAAGATCAGCTGCTTGTTCTAGGCGATCTAAAAGAGAAGAGTTTTTGTCAAGACAGGAGTATAAAGTTGAGTCATCAGCAAAAAGAGCTACTTCAGATGAAAGGTTGTCAGGAAGATTGTTTATGTAGATATGAAACAAAACAGGGCCCAGGATGGAACCTTGGGGAACCCCAGAACTTAATGGAAATAAAGAAGAGTGTTGGCCTTCAAGGATGACTTTAATAAACCGGTCAGAAAGAAATGATTTGATAATCTTAAAAACTTTCCCAGAAACACCATATGAAGCAAGCTTATGGAGAAGACCAGCATGCCAAACTTGGTCGAAAGCTTTAGATATGTTGAGAGCAATAGCCCTAGCCTCACCGCCTCCATCTAATGCACGATAAAATCTTTCGGTTACAGCAGTTAGCAAGTCGGCCGTAGAGCGAGAGGATCGAAAACTGTATTGATTGTCTGACAGCAGTTTATTTGACTCAAGATGAGATGTGAGGAATTTGATGATCAAAGACTCAAAGACCTTGCTAATAACAGAAAGAAGACTGATCGGACAATAATTGGAGGGGTCAGAATTTTCTCCAGAGTTTTTGAATATTGGAACCACAGATACCATTTTCCAACAAGCAGGAAAACAAGACTCAGTTAAACACTTGTTAAATAATTTAGAGAGAATTGAAGAAAGTTCTGGAGAACAATTTTGCAAGACTGTGACAGGAATGTTGTCTGGACCACAAGCTGTAGACGAGTTTAATTGAGATATGACTTTAGCAACAGAAGCCGGAGTGATTTGAATGTCTAACAATGGGTCAACCTGTTTGACTGGAATGGAAGGAAGAGAATGTCCATAAGATTCAAGAGTGGAATTAGAAGAAAAGTTCTTTGCAAACAGTTCTGCCTTATCCCTGGGAGAGGTAACAAGATCAGTCCCATAAATAAGAGATGGAATGTTAGATCTACCCTTGTTAACAATGCTATTGAAGATTTTCCAAAAGTCTTTAGAGCCCAACTTCTGCGATAAGATGCGAGATTTAGTGAACTGAGAATAATGGAGTTTAGCATCAGAAAGCACCTTTTTACATCGATTTCTTGCAATAATAAATAGCTGTTTGTTCTCAAGAGAGTTGTTCTTTTGAAAAAGATGAAAAAAATGATTACGATTGGATATAGCAGCCGCACAAGAAGGAGAAAACCATGGAGTAGAATGAGGCTTGACTTGAAACCGACGAGAAGGAATAAAAGCTTCCATTCCAGCCTGAATCCAGGAGGTTACGTAGGAGGCACATTTGTCAGCTGAGAGAGAAAAAACATCAGCCCAAAGACCATCAAGAAAAAAATCATGAAAGGAATCCCAGTCAGCTTTAGGGTAGTAGTAGGTGGTGCGATGATAAGGTGAGCCCAAAAAAGAAGTACGAGAAGAAAGATTTATAGAGATCATTGCATGGTCAGAACCACCTAAGGGAGAAAAGGGAGAAACTGAACATAAGCTAGGGTCAGAGAAAAGACATAAGTCAAGGAGTGAAGGTAAATGATTTGGGTTGTCAGGAAAACGAGTCACAAAGTTAACTATCTGAGTAAGAGATTGAGAAACGCAGAAATTAAAGGCTTTTGTGCCAGCAGGATCAGTGGTGTTAGAGCCAAGCCATTCAGTGTGATGGACATTAAAATCACCAACAACAACAATATTGGCAGAGGGGTAAAGAGAGAGGGCATGGTCAATTTGATCAGAGATAACATCTAAAAGAGTGCCATCATGGGAAGAAGAAGAACGATAAAGAACAAAGAGAAAGGTGATAGAGTGAAGAGGTGCTAGGCGAAAGCACATAAAAGAATGGTCAAAGGATTCGAATCTGATTTCACGACAAATAGGGGAATTAATGCGTATGTATACCCCTAAACCTAGCATGTGACTATTGCAGTCTTTACGAATCAAAGGATAGTACCCATCAACACTGACATCTGAAGAAGGAATTGCAGAACTTAAATTTGTTTCACTGAGTGCAAGCAAGTCTGGTGAATTTTGCAGAAGGTAAGACTCAACTGATGGAAAGTTGCTTCGTAGACCGCGAATATTTGTAAAAGATATATTAAAATATTTAGGTGGTGGGGATGGTTTTTTAGGTTTTAAATTTTTGGTTACTTTGGTCATGATTTGGGTTTAATGAGAACTTGACTCATTCATAGATAGAGCACAGCCTCCTAATCAATGAGCTATGCAGTTGTCTCAGTCCTGTTAATTAACCCTAAGCCGTGACATAGGGCTCTTTATGTGGCCTTGACAATGCACACCAAAAGGGACACCATCCATGCGCAACATGGCACTGTTAATACTCAGATATTTTGCAGCTGTTGATGGAATCAGCCTCTCTGAGAGCTACCACAGAGTTCGGGAAACCTTACTACCAGCTGGCCTCAGAACCATTAAACTGAGTTTTAGAGCTGTACCCTCATATGGAGATAACAGGAAGAGTTGCATAGCCATTATCATAGAGGCATAAGCAAAATTCTATGAGCAGAGTCAAGGAGATCCAGCATTCATCATCCTAGGCAGGAAACAATGTAACACAGGTTACATCTACGCCAGCCTAATAGATG